GGGAGGAGCGGGAGGAGGGATGTGAAAAGGAGCGGGAGGAGGGATGTGAAAAGGAGTGGGAAAAGGACGAGTGGGAGGAGGAGCGGGAGCAAGTGCGGGAGAAGGAGAGGGAGGGGAAATGGGAAGGGGCGGAGGAGCCGCGGGAGGAGGAGCTGGAGAAGGAGGAGCGGCAGGGGAAACGGGGAGGGGGTTAGGAGCGGGAGAAGGAGCTCGAGGAGAAATGGGAAGGGGCGGAGGAGGCGCGGGAGGAGGGGTGGTAGAAGGAGCGGGAGGAGGAGCAAGAGGGGAAACGGGGAAGGGGTTAACGAACCCACGGGGGGCGGAGGAGGGGGAGGAGATATAGGTGGAGGAGGAGAAGCGGGAGGAGTATGAGGACGAGCACGAGGAGCGGGAGGAGGAACGGGGGAAAGAGCACGAAGCAGCGGGAGAAGGAGAAGCAGCAGGAGGGAGAGCGGGAGAAGGAGAAGGAGGAGGAGAGGGAGGAGCAGCAGGAGAACGAGCGGGAGCGGGGCTATGGCGGGATCTTTGTCACGTTGTTTGGCGGAGGAGGAGCGGGAGGGGGAGGAGGAGGATGAGGAGGAGGAGGAGGAGTGGGAGGAGCGGGAGAAGGAGCAGGAGGAGGCATGGGAAAAGGAGCGGGGAAGGAGCGGGAGCGGGGCTATGGCGCAGGAAGAGGAGCGGGAGGAGAGGGAGGAGGAACGGGGGGAAAAGCAAAAGAAGCAGCGGAAGGAGGACGAGCAGAGGGAGGAGGCGAGGGAGGAGGAGCGGGAGGAGCGGGAGCAGGGCTATGGCGGGATCTTTGTCACGTTGTTTGGCGGAGAAGGAGCGGAAGGAGGAGGGGGAGTGAGAGGAGCGGGAGGAGGCGCGGGAGGAGTGGGAGAAGGAGGGGGAGGGGATTCGAGATGGGGTTGCATCTCACAACCCCTTGCTCCATACTCTCCTTCTCATTTTGCACATTCGAAGGCTGCTCAGTTCATGCACACATGAAACTGTTGAAGCGGCCCTGCCTGGGCAAGTGCGTGCGCGCGTGTGTGTGTGTGTGTCACACACACACACACACACACACACACACACACACACACACAGAGAGAGAGAGAGAGAGAGAGAGAGAGAGAGAG